TCACTCCTGAGATTCCAGAGGCACCTTGGAGAGGTTGGGATATGGAGGTGTCACTGTCACCCCAGAGATTCCAGAGACAGCAGCTGACCTTGGAGAAGTGGGGATAGGGAGGCATTGCTGTCACTCCAGAGGCACCAGTTCACCTTGGAGAGGTTGGGATGTGGAGGTGTCACTGTCACCCCAGGGATTCCAGAGGCACCATCTGACCTTGGAGAAGTTGGGATATGGAGGTGTTGCTGTCACTTCAGAGGCATCATCTGACCTAGGAGAAGTTGGGATATGGAGGCATTGCTGTCACTCCAGAGGCACCAGTTCACCTTGGAGAAGTTGGGATAGGGAGATTTCATTGTCACCCCAGGGATTCCAGAGGCACCTTGGAGAAGTTGGGATATGGGGGTGTCACTGTCACCCCAGAGATTCCAGACACAGCAGCTGACCTTGGAGAAGGTGGGATAGGGAGGCATTGCTGTCACTCCAGAGGCAGCAGTTCACCTTGGAGAAGTTGGGATAGGGAGATTTCATTGTCACCCCAGGGATTCCAGAGGCACCTTGGAGAAGTTGGGATGTGGAGGTGTCACTGTCACCCCAGGGATTCCAGAGGCACATCTGACCTTGGAGAAGTTGGGAGAGGGAGGTGTCACTGTCACTCCTGAGATTCCAGAGACAGCAGCTGACCTTGGAGGAGTGGGGATAGGGAGGCATTGCTGTCACTCCAGAGATTCCAGAGGCACCTTGGAGAAGAAGTTGGGATATAGAGGTGTTGCTGTCACTTCAGAGGTATCATCATCTGACCTAGGAGAAGTTGGGATATGGAGGCATTTCTGTCACTCTGGAGATTCCAGAGACAGCAGCTGACCTGGGAGAAGGTGGGATAGGGAGGCATTGCTGTCACTCCAGAGGCACCATCTGACCTTGGAGAAATTGGGATAGGGAGGTGTCACTGTCACCCCAGAGATTCCAGAGGCACCTTAGAGAAGAAGTTGGGATATGGAGGCATTGCTGTCACTCCAGAGGCACCATCTGACCTTGGAGAAGTTGGGATAGGGAGATTTCATTGTCACCCCAGGGATTCCAGAGGCACCTTGGAGAAGTTGGGATGTGGAGGTGTCACTGTCACACGTCACCACAGAGAGGTGGCCCAGTCTGAAGGCCCTGTGGCACCAGCTGGCACTGGGAGCCGTCCTG